GCACACACACACACACACACACACACACACACACACACACACACACACACACGTGAATATTAGACTGCTTCCTACAACAAATAGATGCACATTTTAGGTCGAGTTCGAAAAGTATATATCTATAGCGAATCAAACCTATTAAGATAGATATTAAATCAAAGATGACATTGATTAAGAGTTGTAAAAGAGATTTTATACAAAGATCTATAAATACACATACAATCAAGATAAACTTACATACAAAACCCCAACAAATAGAGGGTACAAAGAGAAGAGAGAAGAAGAACACAAATCTCACGGTTTGTCAACTCCGATTGAAGTGGATTCGACTCCGAATCGTCAAGATGCATACTCTAATGTTGTTTCTAAGCTACTCTACTCACAAAATATTTTTGATGAAGTTGGGGTTAAAAGTTCCCAATAAAATAACCTAAAAAATGATGAAAAGTGACTTAAATGACGCGAATCGCATTAAGCGCGCTATGAGGGCGCTTAGCGCCATCAACAAAATCACAATTCTTATTTTCTTCAAAACGTTTGAACCGTAACTCCGATTGACGCACGGTCGTAAGCATTGGAAAGCTTATTCAATGCTCTATACGACAATGAGAAAATATCCTTGCTTGAATACCTAAAAAAAGGAGACAAACTAAAATTAGAAAGAATGAAATTTATTACAACCGCGCTAAGCAACCTTAGATCGCGCTAAGCGCGATCTCACTTAAAATACCCTTAAACCGTCCTAAAGTGCGCTAAGCGCGGTCCTGCTCACGCTAAGCCCAATCAAGAAAACAAAAAAAATACTCTAGCTACTGCCATCTAGTTCCTAGCACGCTAAAAATCGTGGTAAGCGCGAATGACAATATTTTGTTGGTCAAAACTGCATTTTGAAGCATCCTTCTTGGCTCAAATGGGTCCATACTTCAACCATGCATTATTACCTATAAAAACAGATGAAAATTTTTCAAAATCAACAATATGTACTCAAAAACGTATATTACATATTATAATGTAAACTATACAAAATATATACAAAAATGGAGGATTATTAATGGAAAACAAACGAATCAAGCCAATAAGTGCCAATTATTCACACTGAAAATCAATAGATTTTAGCACTTATCAACTCTCCCCAACTTAAACTTGTTTTCCTCAAACAAAAATCAATCAACTCGAAGAAACAAAAACAATTATCAAGAAATCATGCTCAACAAGTCTCGAAAAACAAAAAACAAATGTATGGTTCAAAACAAAAATGTACAAGCAAAGCAAAACTTACCACTAAACTACAACGATAACATGAAAACGAAACAACTCCTAAATACAAAACACATGTCAAAAATTCTAAGACAATACAATGTTCAAAAATGAGTCACACCTAACACACACTTTATCGGTAGATGAATAAAAAAACATGAGGGGCTTAACTCTCACCCAACAATCAAGCTAACAACAAGTTAAATTATACATTCATAAAAAAAACTTATATTGAACAGTATAAAAGCAAAAATCATAAGGGCTTTAAGGGTTGTAATGTGCTTTGGGTAACAAACAGTTGTTTTTCTAAGGTAAAAGAAACAAAAACTTGTCTAATCAAATGAGAGTGATCATTTCTCACAATCTCAAACACTCACAAACTCCAATCACCTTTTTCTCTTTTCTAAATTGTTACACCATTCCACACAACTTATTAGCACAACATTATTCTATTTTATTTTTCTTTTTAAAATTCTTTTCCTTTTTCTGTTCTTTTTCCTTTTCACTTTTTTCTTTTCTTTCTTTTATTTCTTTTTCAAACTTTTTTTTTCTCAACCTCTTATCAACCAACCTCTTCTCCCCAACTTGAATACAATCACACATAGCGACATGAATGCTCCCAAACTTATTAGACAAGGGTAAAAAAACTCAAATAACAAGTCATGGTTATAGTTCAAGAAAAAATATTAAAATCCATACAAAAATAAACTTAACACCAACATGGATTCTAACAAAGGCTTAAAGGGAGTAAACAAATTCTCACTCACTCACAAGCTAGATTGACTATTTGGTCAAGTGGTTATACTGAAAATCAAACAAATTGCCTTTATCATATTAGTGATATCATACAAATAAATACAAATATAAGATTAAATATAGTAAAACCGAGTTAAACAAGAATGTTAGTCTCCTGCATATAGTAAACAATGGAAAGCTCCTCACAAAAAGGGTTTTGTTCTAAGGTGATTCAAAACTGAACAAGTATGACAAAAGAGTGAAAGACATGAAAATGGTACAAATGAAAAGTCTCATAATCATGCTATGTTCTAGAAAGTGATAAATAAGTACCTTTCAAAGTACGAACTTCAAACAATATCAAAACCATACATTCGCAAGTTAAAACGATCAAACTTGGAAAATCACAAAATGCATCCTCAAGCTAATCAAAAACAAACTTGAGAGCAAACACCAACGTTATTCTAACAACCTAACAAAATTGAACTAAAACTAACGAAACACAAAGACCAAAAATGGTGAAAGTGGATGGAAAATGAGAGATTTTCCCAAACAAAATAGGGCGCGCTAAGCGCCCTCTGCGAAAGTTAAGCGCGGGCAGGAAAACTTTGTTTTTTAAAATTAATTCTTTATCTCATTCACTCCATCCATTCTCACTCTATACTAACTATACTACTAAATATAAAGCTATACAAACTCAAAAACCCAGTTGGTTGCCTCCCAACAAGCACTTGTTTCACATTGTAAGCTCGACGCCTTATTTACGTACAAGCTCCACCATGTTACTTCGTTCACCGATATATACCAAATAAAACCTGCAACATTTGAGGAAACGTAAACCAAAAACAAAAATATGCACAAACACATAAACACACATGATGGACAATAGATATATACAAGGATGTCAAACAAAAACAAAACAAGTATATATACAATTATGTACAAAGCTTAGAAATATAGAAACTATCGCAATGCGATTCAATATCAAAACCAACTCCCGACAACGACACTATTTTGTTGGAATGGTAAAACAACAAGCAAAAACTTTATTTTTAGAAGAATTTCCTTCGGGATTTATATCGTCGCCTTAGGGATCATTGCGAGGGAAAGAATGTCGTTCGACAATCTCTATGTCTCTAAGCTTAGGTTTAAATGGTTTGGGATAAAAGTGCAAAAGGAAAACATAAAAGAAGAAAATAAATACATTATTAAGACATGAGAAAACTCGTTAGGAGATGTATTTCGTTCTACCCTTCATGTACTAAAAAATCTATGGATCAAATACGCGCAACCTAGATCGCTCGTCAAAACCCCCACGTATCGCTCACAAACAGAGGTTATGTCAAACACATAGTTTGGAAAATCAACCGCATTCTCTCGAAGGTGATGTCTCACGCAACTAAAAAACACAGAGTATTAAGATCCGACACACACACATACACGTGAATATTAGACCGCTTCCAACAGCCAATAGACGCACATCTTAGGTCGAGTTCGAAAAGTATATGTCTATAGCGAATCAAACCCACTAAAATAGATATTAAATCAAAGATGACACCGATTAAGAGTTGTAAAAGAGATTTTATACAAAGATCCATAAATACACATACAATCAAGATAAACTTACATACAAAATCTCAAAAAATAGAGGGTACAAAGAGAAGAGAGAAGAAGAACACAAATCTCACAGTTTGTCAACTCCAATTGAAGTGGATTCGACTCCAGATCGTCAAGATGCACCCTTTAATGTTGTTTCTAAGCTACTCTACTCACATAATGTTTTTGATGAAGTTGGGGTTAAAAGTTTCCAACAACATAACCTAAAAGAATGCTAAAAAATGACTTAAATAGGGGATAAAATGACGCGAACTGCGCTAAGCACGCTATGAGGGCGCTTAGCGTCATCAGCAAAATCAGAATACTTATTTTCTTCATAACTTTCAAACCGTAACTTTGATTGACGTACGGTCAGAAGCGTTGGAAAGCTTATTCAATGATCTATACAAAAATGAAAAAATATCCTTGCTTGAATACCTAAAAAGTGAGACAAAGTAAAATTAGAAAGAATGAAATTTATTACAACCGCGCTAAGCGCGATCTCACTTAAAATACCCTTAAACTGCCTTAAAGCGTGCTAAGCGCGGTCCTGCTCGCGCTAAGCGCGACCAAGAAAACAAAAAAATACTCTAGTTACTGCAATCCAGTTCCCAAAGCGCTAAAAATCGCGCTAAGCACAAATGACAATATTTTGTTGGTCAAAACTGTATTATGAAGCATCCTTCTTGACTCAAATGCGTCCATACTTCCACCATGCATTATTACCTATAAAAACAGATGAAAACCTCTCAAAATAAACAATATGTACACAAAAACGCATATTACACACTATAATATAAACTATACAAAATATACACAAAAATGGAGGATTATTAACGTAAAACAAACGAATCAAGCCAATAAGTGCCAATTATTCACACTCAAAATCAGTACATTTTAGCAATTATCACTAATTTGTGATCAGTCTTTGACATACGTTTCTTCACATTTGATGAGTATCATTGAGAATTTTTGCTACCTTGTAAACAAGCGCAAGTTTTTTTCTTCTCTTTTTTAGAAAGAGTGTGACATGCTAGGGAAAAATAAATTCTACTCCATACTTCTTTTGGGGCTAACTCTTTTCGTATACCCATCACAACCATATCTTCGCAGGATTTTTAGTATCTTTTAACTTACCTTCAATGTTGAGAAGTGTTCCAATCAGACTATCACATATATTTTTCTCCATTTGTATCACATCAAGACAATTTCTTACTTCAAGACTAGACCAGTATGGAAGATCAAAGAATACCGACCTCTTTTTCCAAATATTTTTGTTCACGAACTTTTTTTGTTTCTTTCTAAAGACAACCTTAATGTGTTGTTGTTTTCTATAAACTTCCTTCCTAGTTAGATTGCAATGAATCAGCTGCATGACGAATTTTTCCATCACACACCTTTTCATCTACATGTCATCTAGTATTTTTTGCATCACTAACATTAGAAAACAATCTCTTGATCCTTGTAATTATCGGTAGGTACCACATAACCTTTGCGGGAACACCCTTGCTAGTTACACCATCATCGTCATCAACACCATTGTCGTTCTTCTTGTAGCGTAACTCCCCGCACCTCAGCGACTTCTTCATGTTTTCAAAGTCTTTCCTATATAATAGGCAATCATTACGACATGCATGTATTTTGACATAGTCCAAACCCATTGGACACAATATCTTCTTGGCCTCATAAGTACGGTTCGACAACGTGTTACATTCGGGAAACATTTGTTTCAACAATTCAAGCAATTCATTGAAACTTTTATCCGTCCACCCACCTCTTACCTTAAGATTAAATAGTCTTAACACAACCGACAATCTTGTAAAATGTTTACATCTCTGATACAACGAATCTTCCATGTCTCTTTGTAAAGTATCTACAAATGATGTCTTATTGAAATCATCAACTCCAATATGACGAATGATGTCTTCTAGAGTATCATTCATAACTTTATCATGTTCAACTATATGTAACAAGGTCTCTTTTTTTCCGCCTCACCATGTCATACCCATTTCGTGTAATTTTGAACAAATTTCATCACAACCACAACGATTGAAGATAACATTCCTATTATTTTTTTTTGTATTAAAGCAGTTTTTACAAGGACACCAAAAAATCTCATTATTGTCAGGAAGGTTTTTTTCCATAAAAATCAAGAAATTGTTTCAATCCATTCTCATACTCTACACTAAATCTATTGATTTTCATCAAACTACGATCCATAATCACATAAAGCTTTTGAAAAAAATAAAAATAGTACACAACCAATACAAATAATACACAACAACAAGAATATCAGAAATGGAGAATAACAAGAGCAACATTAATGGATCAAAGCAACAACAATAATGACATACCAGAGAATAATGGTGAGAGTTTTTTCGTTTGCTAGGGCTGCTTGGAGAATAAGTGTTTTTTCGTTGGTTGGAGAAGAAGTGTTCTTTCGATAGGGCTTGGGAAGTGAATAAGTTAGACACTGAGTGAACAAAAAATATAAAGAATTTTTATCGTGATTATACTGAAAACCGAGGTAAAATATCCGATGTAAAACTTTAAAAAATAAAGGTGCCTTGTTGGTTCCAAAAAGAATAAAAAAGTTAGAAAATATTTATCTCGATTTTTCTAAAAACCGAGATAAATATTTGACGTAAAATCTATAAAAATTAAAGACGCCTTTTTGGTACCATATAAAATATAAAATTGCAGGAACTGGAAATCAAATCTCAGACCTTGAGCATATTGTTATGTCGCCTTTACAAAGAACTGAGCTAACAAATTGATTTTCAAAAAACAAGGCGCTCCCGTTACATACACCCTCGATTTTATATTGTTCGTTGTGAAAACTTCATTATTTGTTGTAGTGTCGTATCTGTCGCTTGCGCGAAAATAAAGTGTCGGCACAACAGAAGATTCGCCACCTTTCGTTATTTATCCCTCAGAGCGGGAAAGGGAACGATCGGAAAAACCTGACGAAAAAGGGTAAGACAAGGTCATCGCAACCATTGTCTGGATTTGGGAGTCGGTTACGCAAGGGGAAGGTATTAGCACCCCTCACGTCCGTCGTACTCGACGGGATCCTCGCTTGTTGTGTTTACTTGGACGGGTTGGTTTTATTCTATCTACCTATCAACGCTGGCTTAAAACAGAAAAGAAAAATGACTCGGCAAAGCGTCGCACTTTATGCCTACGTATTCTCATCAGAGAATGAGAAATCAGAGTTAACGTAGTTCGGCCTACGAAGGGTTATGGGGGAAGGTAGCTCGCCAAGACATCGCCATCTTGTGCCTACGTACTCTCAACAGGTATGAGAGATCAGAGCTCACGTAGTTCGGGAAACTACGGTTTATTTCCTGTCTTTTACGAAAGAAGTGTTTTTTATTGTGTTTGCGATTTCAATCGCATTAGAGACTATGACCTGAGAGTGAATGCGTCGCATGTCACCCAAAGGGTACCATACTAAACATCCAGACTGTGGAAAAGAAACTCTCCCACAATCCTTTCTCAGATAGCTTAAGGCTCGTAACGTACGAAAGAAATCATTCATGATTACTGTATCTTAAACTGCTTTGAGATGAGAAGAGAACAGGCCCAACTAGGAGGGAGACTATCAAGTCCTACTGTTGTCATGCCATGGATTCATCTTATGATTGAGGTTTGAACAGGGAACTCCTAGAAGTTGTCATGCATAGGTTTCAACCTAAAGTTCTATCATCAATTCCTTTTCAAAGGAAACGAGAGTCCTAAGGGATCATGTCAATGATACACCAAAACAGACAAAGCATCAACTTAACAGTAAAATGCGTGCAATGCAAGTGAGGGAGGAAATGTGTGTGGGGCTTCAGCCTCCACAAGCTCATCTCAACCTCAAGCCAGAATGGAATACAGTAATCATACTGAAATATAAACAACATGCTATCAAGCAATAACAATAAACTGCAATCATACAGATAAAATGAAATAAAATGCCATCAGGCAAACAAACCACATGGGCAAGGGAGCCGGGCTCTACCGAATACCCGCAAGCAAAGCCACACAGTAACAGTACAAGCAGAGGGAGCAACTTAACCTCTAGTGCAATCATGCTCCTAGATGCTACTTATTCTAGATATGAACTTATTCTAATGCATCAAGCAATTCAAACAAAACACATCAATACAGAAAAGAAAAAGAAAAGAAAGCAGACCAACTCCTCTCTCAACTCCAAGCTTCAGCTCTTCCAACAGCAGCTCAGTCTTCAGACTTCAAATTACTCTTGACAAATATCAATTGCTTCTCCAGGTTTCAACCCTTCAACATAAGTTTCAAAATTATCTTCTCCTTTAAGCTTCAGCTTCTTGATCAGCTCTACCTTCAGGCTTCACTATCACTCATAAGTATCAACTTGGCTCCTTCAGGATCTCCAGGTATCAAAGTGAGTATTAACTTCCTTTGTTCTTCAAGCTTCAGCTCTTCAGAATCAATCTCAATCACTTAGAAGTGTCAACTTCATCCTCCAGTCTTTACTTCATCTTCAGGGGTCTTCAAGTATCAACTTGCTCTTGTTGCTCTTCAAGCTTCAGCTGGAATGGCAATGCTCAAGGATTCATCCTCTTCTATACTCTTCATTGAAGTCTTCATCTTCAAACTCAGGCTCTGCATCTCTCAAGACAATCAAACCAGAGGAAATCACTTACTGGATAAGCTGGGGGATATTGAACTGCTTATTGACCACCAAAGGTGACCTATAAGGTTCAACATCAAATGAAGGGTTCCCTTAAAAGTTCTACTTCCTAGGTATATCACTTATCCCACCAAAGGAGAGAGGTGTATACCATGGAAGGACTTTGAATCATAGGGAGGAATGGAGGTGACAGATACCTTCCATGTTTAAGAAAGAAGTTATCTAAGTCTAAACTCTTCCTAATCCCTAACCCTAAAACAAAAACAAAACAAATAAGAACAAGCTATCAAGCTCCTCAATGCATCTTCAAGTCTTCTACTATGCTCCTCAATGCTCCTTAGAACAATACCAAGCTCTCCATGCCCACAAAGCAAAGCAACTAAAGCAAAAATGCCCTAAAGGAAACACAAACAATCAACCAATACAAAAATCAACTAGAAATAGCATACTACTATATTAAATCCTAATATAATTTCTAGGGGATCCTACATACCTACCCTTAATGCCCTATATGTCCCATAGTCTAACTTGTCCTAAAAACCCAAAATTCTAATGTTATTATGGTCCTATGTTGAAGTTTGACCTAATTCTACACAACCTAGAATTATCTAATCAAAACTATCCTAAAATTCATCACGAAAATATGGAATAAATCCAGGGGGAAGATAAAACATATATCTAACTATACTAAAAAGAATGACCTAAAAATACTAAGGGAACTACCTAAACTAAATTCTACAAATTCAGGTATCAACATAAAAGAAATAAAAAGCTATTAAAATGGAAAATATACAAAAAATATTAAAAATGCATGAAAGGAAAATATTTTTCTTTTATATTTTTCTAGAAATGAATATGAAGTAGGATAAAAAACTCCCATTAAAAAATCATTGTTTTTCCATTTATTATGAATTTTACAAGATTAAAATAAAAATGGAGAAAAATAAAATGCAAATATGAAAATGGGGTGCAATCAGTAAACAGATTCAGTTCAGTTTATTGATGGGCTCAAAATGTGGGGTGCAGAAAGTAAAGCACCAGGCCCAATATTAAATCAGAAAAACAATTAGAAAACATAAAGAAAATGGAAAAGATTAGGTGCGAAAAGTAATCCATTTCAGTTCATTATTGAAGTGGGCCTCAATTGGGGGTGGGGATAGCAGTCCAATTACTTGAGCCCAGAAGCCACCGTTTAATGAAATGGTGCATTTTGCATTGTTTCTCAGATTCCCTCCAAAACGAAATTGAATGTGGTCCGTTGGATTCAGAAAGAGTCAAAGGTCAAGCTAGCATCTGATGGCTGGGAGTTCATCTTCTTCCTCCAACCTAGGGTTTTCTGAAACCTCCATGGAAATGCAGCATGAAGCTTCATCTTCCTCAACTCGTGATCTCTCAAAACTTCATCAATTCTTAAAATTCAAGACCCTAATCCACTTGATTTCTCATGCTGAACACGATTACAATCTCAAATTCCATTGAAACCTCCTAAATCAATGAACCCGATCCAAGATCCAAAATATGCTCAATCAACAATCTTAACAATTCTTGAAACTAAATGTCTCAGATCACTCACCAACTTCCCCTGGACATTTCTTGTTATTAAACTAAGCTCATCTCTCAATATAACAAGAGTTCTTGGTCATCAAAGAAATGAGGTCCCTAGTTCAATCTTCACCAATTCTCTTCAAACTTTCCAGAAATGATCTCCTATTGATTTCTAACCATTCTAACATATCAAACCTAATCAATCATGCATAAATTAAGGTGCACGAAGAAAGTTGCAAACCTGGTTAAATTGAGTGAACAGATGGAGAAATCCTTCAATTCAAGCCTTGAATCTTTCCCAATTCCTTCACTGAGTAATCTTCTAGCTTCTGTATGCAAAAAGAATGGCTGAAAATGCTTGATTCTTGGAAACCGATTTTGAAATACAACCTTGAAATTTGAATCTCCAACTCTTCAATTCTCCATGGATGTGATCTCAATTCAATCTGCACAGCTTCAATATGAGGTATTGAATGTGTTTGTGTGAAAAAAATGAATGGAAATGAAGAGGAATGAAGAAATTGATCTTGACTTGCAATGGAAGATTTTGGATCTCACTCTCTCTTCTCTACACCAATTCACACCAACCTTGCATCTGAGCAAGTTACAATCATCTTATATAGTGGTTTAGAATCATCTAGAACCCTCTAGGATCATCCAATGAGAAATTGAACTTTTCATGTCATGACATTTTGAATCCAATTCTCCTTACATGCTATCTCATGCCAAGCTCCTTGTAAC